CTATCAGTTAATGCTTCGCTGGCACAAGTACACAGACAATACGGTATAATACAGTATAAACGGAGGAAACGCCGTGATGGAAAAAGTAGATTTCGCCAAGCATGATGAGCTATGAAAACACTTAAGTATGAACTTGAATAAATGAAATGTAACCAAACGGATATAAAATCCGCATTGCAGCATGGCAAGGTTACTGCTCGCACTAATCACCAGGCATCTACAAGGTCTGTCTTTAAACGATTCTGTCTTTGTAGGTTACACTATTTTTCACGGTGTCTAAACTCGGTAAAAACAAGTTCGGGTACACATCATTTGCCAAAACCAACAAAGGATTAGGAATCAATGAGACGACATAAAAATGTTAAGCATGACAAGGTATTATGACAATGATTCATGTACAGAAATCAATCTTTCTGGTGAGCGAAACGTTGAATTGCGTTGTTTAATGAAGCTTATCTTTTTTCCCTGAAAGATCAAGAAGTCAAGTTTACTAAAGGTTATACAGAGAATAGTCAACCAGCGAAGAATTGGATAAAAGAGGTGGTATTGAAGTAAAGGCAATTATAATTTTAAACTCACAAAAAAAACAGGGTCTGAAAACTCTGGTCTGATGATGATGGCGATAAAATCTAAATTCACTATATATTGAATTTGGTGACCGTACATTTGAACCCACGTACATTTGAACCCATGTGTATATTCGCGGGTTCAATCTATATGCGGGTGCTAAACCCATGGGTTAGGGTTAGTATGGGTTCAAATATCCGTAAAACAACAAAAATTTCCATAGGTGCAATAGTATGCCGGTGCAATCGTCGTGGGTTCAAATGTACGTGGGTTCAAATGTAATGGAACCAATGAATTTCAATCTACTTGGTTCATGAATTTCTGAATTCTACAAAATACAGGACAAACAGGCAGCTATGGAAAAAACGTTACGTTGGTGTATCTCATCGATTACACTTCAAATCAGTGCAATAAGTTTATCCAATTCCCGGCCAAAAATAGAAGATACCTCAGAAATTTTGCACCGCTGTCCAAATAATGCCAAGTACAGGTGGTTACTTATGGTCCGTCCATACTGTAGTCAGTCGGGTTTCTCGCTTCTCGTACTTTCGATTCGTTTGTTTCAAAATTATCAACCACAAGAGGTTTACACCGTGACGGGTCATATGTTGACCGTTATTTTGACAGTTCTGGGTGATTTCAGGTGTAAACTTCGACACCTGATGTCAAACAAGTGTTGCGCCTAATGAGGGAACTTGTAAGTACGCCAACGTATTGTCAGAATTCATTGTTATCAACCTTTTAGAATCGTAAAAGGTATAGTGATGAAATTCCATCAAATGCACCAGTGTTTATAATAATAAGTTTATAATAAATTGATGGCAAAATTAGATTTCAACAAAGAATTAACAGATCTGACCCGCTGTTCAAAAACGACCAATCTTAGATTGAAACGCACTAACAAAAAATTCCTAATGTCTGGAAATGATTGAGTATAATTTCGACCCAATAATAAGAATTCATAAACGATGGTGAATAAATATATCGGATACAGCAAAATTCTTTTTCTGCTAAGTGATCAGAAACACCGTATAACATATATCAACCTAAATTTCGCAAGATGGATTTTTATATTCGCAGATGAAGAAGATATATTTCCTATAAAAAGTTGACCTTTGACCTGTTTTAGCCCTCAATTTTACATATTGGCCGCAATAATGAAATGGCGCCAAGAAGTAAGAAACGAAACCAAAACATGGTACGATTTGTGGCTCTAGAAATTCACACTGCACTCGACCCGTTTACCCACCATTAAGTTGAAAAAGTTACTCTTAAGCTCTGCCTCGGATGAGACTAAATCGAACAAGCTGTGATAAGTTGGAATTATTAATGAATCACACGTGGCAGAATAGTGCGGAAGTCCTCATACAAAAAAGAGATAATACTAATACAAAGTAACATTTCTAACAATACCGATAATTGTTCTGCGGTTTGGTTCATTTGTTTCGACACATCCCTAAATCCTATCAGATTTTGTTCAAGCAACCGTGACTTAAAAACACACAAACACGAAATTACAAAATCACAGAAAGAATTCGAGTTCTGACTAAAAGTTTTTAAATTTTATAAAGAAACAAAAATATGGAACACACAACCATTTTGATGTGCTATCCTATTACATATTAAGCTTCAGTATGGAACTGTGAACAATGTGACGTAGACACGCGAGGCGCTGAAGAGTCACCAAATATCACCACTAACTTTGTAATGGATGGCCCCCTGGATAAGCGAGTAAAAATGCATAGCTTATATATATATTTCTATTCTCTCAATTTGGTCACGTGGTTATTTTTTACTGCATTTGTTCTTCGAAAATTTTTGGACGACATTTCGCTCTCGCTTAAATATATTAAGCTTAATTTTCATTGTAATTAAAACATGTCAGAAAATAATCTGGTGTGGACAAATAGTCTCAATGACATTATAGCAAATTGTCTATATATTCAGGTTACCGATATTCTTGCATTAACGTATGACGTAAATCAAAAACCACAAAAAAATTTCAAGCGAATCGGAAAATGAAAAACAATTAATAAAATTCTAGAACATTTTTCTTAAGAGCATTTCACTAATTCCCCAAATCGAAACAATGGATTTCCCACAAAAAGATAATGTCAAAAAGACCACATTGTTGTGATATACGAGTCCTCAAACTAATATACGCATCAGTTTGTGTTATAGAGGAATGGTAAAGTTGGTAATTTGAAATGAATAAAAAATAATTTGTAACTGGAAAGGTCATCAAATTATTTGCTATATAACTCACAAGAAATATATTCACTTGTACATTTGGGTATTAGTGGGATAAATTTTAAAATTTAGTTTGAATATTTATTATTGGTGCAATCAGTTTAACAAAACGAGGTATTTTTAAATTATCCATTGTGAAGGTCAGGGTTGGGGAGTCGGAGCTAAAGATACCAGAAATTTTAGAGGCTTTCTAATCATATAGATAGTTATTTTTTCACGTTTATGATTTTTTAATATTTCTTAAAAATTATAAAATTTATCTTTTTATCTTATGAAGTTTTTTAAATTTTTATTATCTAATATTAATTTAAGGTTTTAAATTAAATTTGTATAAATTAAAAGTTTGAATATTTTAGGATTTGAAACCCCTTTATCGTAGTTTTAATCCCACCGCTGCGAAACAGCATTTGGATTGATGTTTCATGATGGTTATATCAAAATATATCAATGCATATGGAGCCGGAGCCAATATGATTTCAACAACCCCCCAATCCCGGGTTAAGGTATCTGGTGGTATCAGACATAAGCTCAGTAGAACTAGGCTTCACGTTTGTGACTGTTATTACAAGCTCGGAAGCAAAAAATCCTCTAGATGGCGGTAGTGCATCTTATTTCAGATCCTCTCGGGAAACAAAATCGACAAATTCGGGTATTTGGCTCGTATTGCTACGCATTAATGATATAAATATAAACAACTTTGGATTATAAATAAAATGTAGAAAGATACCGAGCTAGGTGTGGCCATATATGCATCGCGCCACCGAGGTTCGAATTAATGTCTGGTTTGCATTTTTTGAATAGGTCAGATCAATGTGCTAGTGGGAAACGGAGTAACTTCATATTTTTAACACGCACCAAGCTGGCCAATTCTGAACTCCCCGTGCCGATTACGCACACCTGCTTCAATACAGACACCACCACTCAGATTATCCTGTTATTCAGATCAATTGCAGCTAAATATAGCATCACGATCTAGATCGCATTACAGTACACAAAGCAAATAGAAAAGGAAAATATATCTTTTTGTGTGACGAGAGATAAATTATTCATCTTTTCTCTCACGCGTGAACACAAAATTGTGACTTTGCTGACAACGGAGTATGCGTTATGCTAGTTTCATATCGGCGAGGACACAAAAACAGATTTACTTGTAACACAAGTTAGTTTTCGCCCTACCAGATATGCTATGCCTGGAGAAGATAATCATACGATATTCGTATCCGTGTAGTTTGTATTTACAAGACATTTCGACTTTGGATTGAATATTCTAAATTGATCCCTTGAGAAGCAATGACAAGATGAATTTTAAATTGTTGGTTACAAAATCATGCTGGTATTACCCTTATTCCAAATCTAAGTGATTCAAGAGCCTAAATCAGGATTTCTCCAATTGGGCCCTCGAAATCCATGGGGGCCGCGGATCGGTTTTCTGGGAGCCCCAAGCAAAAGGATTTACTAGGTACCATTCTCGATGGCTACATTAATTAAAGTAAATTCACTGATTTGTTTAATTCCTTGACTATATTGCATTTATTATGTTTTCGTTTGTTGCCTCTCATATCATTATACATGGAATGTAAAATAACCACTGGAGGCGTGTTCAAAGCAAAACTTAGTATTTTTATAGGTAAGCAGGAGCCACAAGTGTTGAGAGTTTTTTTGAAAGGTAGCACGGATCATGAGAGTTTGAGAACCAATAATGTCTGGTTGCACATCTGAGCTTTGACAGACGGAAAGATACAGAAAAATACTTGTGTTGTATGTCACTTGAATAGTTGTCTTCACACTTGGTACAGCTTTCTTGCATTATATACATACGGATTGACCAGCGTGAAAGCAGCATAGGAAAAGCTAATTACACAATTCCACGTAAACGCAAGCGGTGTCACAAATTACCATTATCCTGCAATTACCAATACTGCAAAAATTCAATACAAAAAAAAAATTGCTTACCATTATATGAAATATTAATTTAATAGTTTTCGAACAACATTAATTTCGAATTCTGTATAAAAATATTTGTGAAGATTTCTATTGAAGATGCAAGGTTAATAATTTAGAAGTTAGTCGAATATAAGCGCAATGTATACTATAGGAAATCTTCAAATACAAATACACGTATATACACATAAATATGAATACCTAATTTTAAAATGCACCTATATAATCATAAAATATCATACCAGATCCAGATTCAATTGTTACAGAATTTGGTCCATATCGGTGCATCGGTCCCGATTTGGGTGTGGGCATCGGATCTGATCTGTTTGTCTGGATCCTGAAAAAAAAGGACAACTTTTACTCATAGGGTGTAATATAACGATTCTTGGTGAGTTAGTCGGGTAATATAAATCAATTACTCGACAAATAGGTGCAATGGTGGTGAATTTGGCGCCAAATTCAGGAAAACTCATAAAGAGATAGAGATAACCAGAAATTACGAGTAACCATCTGAATTTTGCAGCCGCGGGAGAAATGTGATAGGTATTAGTTGCATTCGAAATAAGCCTGAGCGCTGTATATTTTGGGGGAAAACGATATACAAAGAAATGGGAAGTTATTCATATAAGTCAACATTGATGTGATGGCCTGGTTAATATATTTTACATCAAAATCAACACGTAACAAGGTTTTATTTAGGCCTACCACAAGTACATACATATAAACACACATGTAGCTAGTTTGTTTGAATAATGAATATGGAATCGAAATTCGAGAGGGAGACATTACATACATTGAAATTATAGGATATGAAATGCTTAAGCGAGATCCCTCATAAAGTTGAGAATCGATTGCATAAACTGCAGATTATTGACAAAGCATTGCACATTTCAATGATGATACTAGATTCCTTCAATTACGCTGGCATTAAACACAAGTGTTATTTCTATTCAAGACTGATTAAAGAGTCATAATAAACCATCCAACCATCAAACTTAAAGTATGGCAAATATGGCATTTTGCAGTAAAAGATAAATAACAGACGTTGCCCATTAAAGGCATGGACTTCAATTAACACTTCGTTTTATTTTAATGGTTCTATTCAATTCGAGTTCCACTTCCCTATTTATTTCATATAAATATTGGGAATAATGTGTATAAACGAATATCAGAAACACTTGAACAATAATTTTAACGGAAAATAACCAAATGAAGACAAACCCACTTGAGTGACTGCAAATCTATATCATCATCCAAATAAGCATCGGGGTGATTTGCGACCGAATATCCATCCCCGTTTCCGGGCGGTGAACCGGAAATCGGTACTGATGTACGGTCAGAGATTAGCGCACTGGATCCCGAAGAGAGAAGCTTCGTACAACCGGTTGATTGACGAATCTTGAAACAAAACTGTGGTCCCATCCATAGTCGTCTCGCAGGACCTTCGTGTGTAATCATCTCAACCTAAACAAAGTTGGTAAAAAAAAGTCTGAATATTTTCCTAATAATATACATTCTATGATTGTCCTTGATATAGGTTAAATTTTCTTCGTGTAGAGTGCTAAACGTGAATGTATATCTCCGAGCATTGTTGAAAACGAATAATGTATTTCCTGTATTTGTGCTAGAATTTGACAGCAGTGAGCCCACGTCTATCCACGTTAGAGTTGCCTACTGATAACGAATCATCTATGCAATATATATTACTCAGAACTTCCGTCTTTACAAAATGTATGTATTTATAACTGTCCACCATAAACAATGACCGCCATTGGCATTCATTGCTCGAACTTAAAATATTCCTGGTGGAATTTGGACTCTTCCTTTATAAGTTTCTCTTTTAAAAGTAAATTTATTTGATTTTGTTTCAAAATATTAGGAAATTGGAGAATGTGGGAACGGTGACCCGGAATTGGAGCGCTGGACCGAACAATGTTGGCGTTGCAGGACCTGGGGTTCAAATTCCATGACCCTAACTCGTCCACGAAGTTATAATTTAGGCGGGCAATGCCGTATTTTTAATATTTCGGTATTTGGAAAATAGTACCTCTTTACGTAGTTAGTGAACTCAGAGCCGTGAAAACGTATCATTAAAAATAATATTTGACACAGATGCAGAAAGCGAAAGCTATTTAGTACAATTTTTAAAACCAATACATAGTCGGAAGTTCAAGTACATTGTTACCGACGTACCTGTGCCAACCATTCGTCATAGTCAGAGTTATAACTGGCGTTCGATTTTCCAGATTCAGCGGATGAAGGCCGATGATTATCTGATGTTTCTTTATCATGATGATTGTGAATTAATTGGCCGTTTAGCCGTTCCGTCGATCCCCGAGGAGACGATAGACTGTGGTTTTCAAAAAGTTCTTGATCGCTGTGTGACAATGGGTACATTTGTTAAATTAAAAGTCTTTAAAATGACCTACAAAAACGGCAAAAAGCCCAATTCGGCGTTTCCCAATATTCCCGTAATATTATTGTAATATATAATTATGGACACATTATAAACTATTCAAACTGTGCAAAGTCGAGCTTCTCGTAACAACAGCTATGGACAAATAACGTTAACAGTCTTCATGCATAGTGAGGGTGGAATAAAGAGATCCAAAATAGTTATAAATGAATCGAAAGAGGTCGGGAACAAATGGTATCATTGGAAATATTTAAATGTAAAATCATTTAAAAGAGTTTGGGTAGCAGGTTGTAAATCTCGGAACTCCACCACTTTAACAAGGCTAATATAAATTTGATAGGATATTCCACATTGTAAAAATCAAGTTCTTAAAGGCAGTCCTATCTGGAGTCTTTCTAGGGCGTTGTAGTGAACGATATCAAGAAGGATTTGAAGGTTCACGTTTTCAAAAATTGAAATCTAATTTTAGCTCTGTCACATGTTTTCTTAAGGTCAGTAGACAACTTGCACAATATCAATATACCAATAATGTATAAAATATTTACGGACACAAAATATCGTTTGCCAACCATGGACAATAGACAATATCTATAGCCCATGCTCGACTGTGCTGAAATAGGATTTACCACGTTGTCTGACTGGAAGAGTAGGAATAAGAATGACTTTTGGATCCACCCTTTTGCGTTTGCTTGAGAGCGTTTTTGGTCTAGTGGCCTTATTTCTCGTTAGATTTACCAAAAAAATTGAACTGGAACACAGCTTCATACATACGTGATAAGTATTGGAATTCTTTGAAAAACAGTTCGAAAATACAGTAAATACTATTTAAAATCTTACGAATGTTGTTCCGTTGGAATGATGCGATCCTGAGATCTATATTTGTTTTTGGACTTGTTCGTTTTGCTATTTAAATTCTGCACCGCCATCCCAGGATACTGGTGGTTGTTCGTCATCGTTGAATTGTAAGAGATATTTCTTGACGTGGGCTGTCGGGTTTTTGGTTGAGAAAAATCTCCATGGTGTGTATGACCTCCTAATTCTTGTTTTAGATCGTTTCTGAGGTTCTGTACAAATTGAGGAAAGGTAAATAGACATGAGTGATTATTAAACACAAGTGGACGGTATGAGCATTTTGATAGAAGTCAGCTTGTTCCTATAAAGATCTAGTCGAGCAAACGACGATTTTGATGAGTAATCTGGACTGCGATAGGTGTTTTCGCTTCGTGTGCGAATAGATAAATTTCGTCCCACTTGTCCCATTTCACACACTTGTACCCGTTTGCAACACATTTCCACTTAACCCATACATGCCTCTAACTTGTCATACTTCTCCCACCGTTCTGCGTCGGGGTAGATATATACTGTAGGACAAATGGTTAAATTAATCATATGAACTGACATTAATCTGTTTTGGGTTAAGATAGCTATAATACTTTGGCAGAAGGTTAGAGTGTTCATTGGACGTGAGATTCATACAATAGGGACAAGGGCGGCACGACATTTGAAACGATCCGCACAGTCTAAGTTATATCGGGGGCATAAAAATATGGTTGTCAACAACCCTAGTTCATCGTATTTACAGTTTAACTTGCGCTCTACAATGTGAACCTCACTAATTTCAGTTTTATAATTATATGTTTATACATTAATATTTCATAATTCAAATAATCATAACGGCCGTTTCAACGAAACGCTGTCTCGGTCGCAGCAAAATAACATTTGAATTCAAGCAATTTCAAAAACGTCCTTTTCAGAATTAAGCGATGAACTATTCAAGTGAATAAGTTAAATAAATAGGCCCAGAACACAACGCCAAAATAAAACGTACTCGAAAGCCCGAAATTGCACACCAGTAAATTTAACATCACAGTAAAATTGCTCGAGTGCACCTGGCCAATACGTGTGCGTAAAATGATTAGTTTACAATTAGTAAACACAATAAGTTTCGCAGGTATGGAAAAATTACCTACAGAGTGTGAATAAATTTCTAAATAGTTGGCAAAAAATATACACGATAGAGGGACGTTTGTTAATTGAAAGCGGTAAAAATGATAACGGTCGGATAACGGTCGAGCGTCAACCGCTATAATCCAGTTCATTGATTAGGGCAAGTTTATCACAAAGGCCTAGCGATCACGAGACGAGGTCGGAGAAGTATTTTAAGAAGTTTATGTCGGGAAAACTTGTTTTATTGATCAAATTTATTAAAAGTTGTATTGAGTAATACTTCAAATATCACGCACGTACTTAGAATAAACTAGTGTTTTTACATCATCCTCGGCAATGCGTGGACCTTACACAGAACAGTGCGAATACTTTAAAACGCACGATTCAGCTTAGCTTGAAACATTGTTAAATTGCCGAGAAAACATTGACTAATTTTGGCAACTTTTGAGGTTTGATTGATCTGGTAATTTCAGTATCTGCTCTGTTCAGTACGACTCTATACCAGGCATGAGCTGTATAAAACACAAGGAAAATAGCCAGAAACACGTTTGGTTGGAGTTATTACACAGTTTTAGAAATGTCGTGAAGTATCAAGCAGCCTCTTTGCTAATTTAATAACAGGGATTTATGCAAATTAGACAGAAAAAGTAAGTTCTAGGAACGACGGCCAAATATACTTTGATAATAGATTAATAGTAGTGACCTGATACTTGAGAAACACAAGGAAAAATTTATTATATAATATGTCAATATGTATTGATAAAATTGTGGTAAGGTAAACCAATTTACATGAATACAACTTCAAAATACACTTTGGAAAAGGTGGTCGGTAAATTGAGGTCAGATTTGCTTCCAGGTAGTTCCACGTCCCAATGCAAATAATATTAAAGGTACCTGAAATACCATTTACTATAGACGTTAGGTATGTTGCATATAAATATTATCTTCCATCTTTCAAGAGCAGAATGGTTGTGAATAGAAAACATGGTAAATCTCCATGCGATTCTAGTGGGATACAATGGGTCTCTAGCCATCAACCACACCGAAATTTTGTTTTACCCTTACATTTTAGTTAAGCGTGCTCCACCCACCAGTGGCTGTTACTCAGAGAAATAAGCTCAGCCTGGGCTAAATATAGATTTGAGATTTATAAAAAGGTTTAGCAGGATGTGTAAATTTTAATAACACTATACCACGAAAAAATGTCGGACAGACATTCAAATGTCGGGCCAAGTCAAGAATATCGATCAACTCCGACTGATTATTAATAATCCAATAATTTTTGCAAAATATTTACTACAAAATTCCGTACAGAACGATCAATAAACACGAGTACCTTAGTTGACTGTAAAATTATAATTAGAGTTTAGCTTTACTAAAAGCAGCCGCCACCGAACATACACATGTGAGGGACAAGATTGAAAGCTTGCCAGTACGAGGAAACTCACCACAAGTTCTGCCACTCCAAAACAAAATTTAATTTGAAACATTTTTCAAAGTTTCCCAAAATGGCAAATTTGTGCCTTTTGCGGATAGGCGGAAATTCTAGCGTTTATTTGGATGTCTTTAAATCTAAATAAATGAGATTCCCGTTTTTATTGATTTGCGAAAGTTCAATACACAATGATGGGGGGAATTGGATATTTACCAAAACAGAAAATGAGAACAACGCACAATATCAGCCATAGTTTTAGTTTAGATCAGCAATCAACTTATATTGTCCAACATAATATAGTGTTCTTCGAGTGAATCTTTCTTTTCAATCAAGAGAAATATAATTTTAAACACGAAGACTTAACAGCACTTGCAAATCTGATCAATGATTTTAACACCATTGAAATGGCCCGTGACTGACGTGGCCACGATGGGTCGACTATCTGTTATGTAACTATAACCAGGTGGGATATTGGAATATCCAATAGCATCGATATAAGAAGGAAATTTAATTGCAATCATGAGGATGTGTGTTGTATAAATTATAAGTATCAATTGATTTCGGCGTGTGAAGTCAGATCTCTCGAAACGCTGAATACATACACACATCATTTAGTTTCAGTATATACAGTAGGTGATGGATGGAATCTAGGTGACGCTGCTCGATAACCAGTACTGGTTTATCGCGTCTCCCTTCACACTGAAATGCCTTTTTTTTTTATCTTTCCCTATTCTGTATGTGTACAATGTGAATGAACTACTGATTACTTGTAGGTATTTTGGGATGTCAAAGCCACACCATTTTTCTCACAATTCAACGTTAATATGAAAGCATGAAAATACCAAATTTGTTGGTACGGGACTTCGATTTTACCAATATAGAAATAATTCAACCTGTAGATACAGAAGAAATGGAGAAGATAAACAATCAGTGAGAAGAGTGACTATATCGTTTGCTTCCTACCAATTGCATCACTGTATAAGACAAAAGATTTTTTTGTATCCTATTGACAAACGACGAAAATGTGATGGAATTGTGTTACAAAGGCAACCAACGTAGTGTGGGATTAAATTTACGCACAGGATAGCGTAAACCATGCCGTAAATACCACGTTATCCGAACGTGAAAACGGGTTCACGTGCGTTTACCATGCGTCAATGGTAGATTTAAAACGATCAGCTAACGCATGACGTACGCGACGTTGCTCAGAGTAGGTTCATACTATTGCCACTTCCGCATTTTTAACGAGATTATCTACACACGACGTGAACCCGATTGATAAAAGTAATACGACTGAGTGTAAGGTCAACAGACAATCGCAATGCTAAAATGAAACACAAAACATTCCTTATGACTGAAAATTCATCGATCGTCTTGACGGCATGTTGACCCGTGACAATGAAAAACTGCTAATGGTTTAGATTTAGAAAATATGGACTAGATTGGCGATTACCGGAGGATATATGCCAAAGATCAAAATTAGTACAAATTCTGACTGAGATTCGCTCAAAATCGTTGGTGGCGCACTTTGAAGACATTCAAGGAAGAAATTTCCTATTTGACTAACGGAGTAATCAAAACAATATTCACAAACCAATGATTCGTAATTTAAATCCAGTCAAAAAAATCGAAGAAAGTACTAAAATTTTAATGTGAATCGGTTGCTAGTGGATTTTTTTTTGTTTTGTGTTTTGCGAGTATGGTAATGAGGCAAACATTATTATGAAACATTAATTGGCAGCAATGTAACCAGGAATGTCAAAATTAAATTGAATATTCTCATTTAAAAGTCTATTTAAGCATTTATTATTTTATGATAGACAAAATATTGGTAAACTTCAGACAAGATATAATGGAGAATACGAATTAAAACAATGCTTATCCCAATTATTTTGCATTGCATAGCCGAATGTAATTTCTACGAATTTACAACCGTCTTGGTGAATTTCTCTTGTGGAACCGAACCATACCGGAATATGTTCGATATCTCATATTCGAAAAGATTATGTTAGAATGTATTCGAAATACATAATGATTCGAATTTGCCCATCCCTGAATGTAAAAAATAAAAAGATATAAATTATCACGAACTGATAACCATATCATTTGAGCCGTTTAATCAGATTTTCTATCCTTGCAATACTGATACACTTGTATTATGAAAAACTGACATTATTATTTGAACTTTGAAATACACAATGAATCATGACTGGATCATTAAAATACCTCTAAAGATTCCGATCCGTTTAGAGACAGTGACGAAGAAGACGATGTAGATATTTCTTGCATTGTGTTGATGCGAAGTCGTCGTTTGTTATCTACTTCCAACAATGCGTTAGTCGGAGTCAAAGGGAGATTTACCTCCTTCCAAGACAATATTCTATAAAGAAACAAGGTTAAATCTTAAGAAAACTGCAAAATGATCATCATTTTAATGTATTTCGTTCATAATGACCTGGAAAAAAGGTTAAAAGAGTACCCCCGAAAGAAGAATTCGTACAAATGCATGTCTGCCAGTAAAAAAAATTCAATTACAATTTACTTGTTATAGATCTCCAAGAGCTAAAGGCAATTTTCAGTACTTGGGCGTACATCAGGCTTTAAGCAGCTGCAATTGTTAGAGAATTCATGGTAAATTTACTAAATTATACAATATACGCACTGATATTTTCTCAACAATGCAAGGCGTAAGTGCAGTAAATCACAACAATTTTCGTTTCGTGAATATCTTCGTAATTCGTGCTGGCGTTAGTAAGCTACGTTAGAACGAGATCGTATGACGTCAAACGCAAGTCAAATCATATCTAGTGCTAAAACGGGTAAGTAATGGGTAGTAGTAGGCTATATTTTTGGCGACGTATTGCGTCTGAATTTACTTCAATGAACGTAATAGGGAGAAATTTTCATATCGCATTAAGATTGACACGTGGAAATATATTAATATTAATATTATTATCAATTTGCAGGGTCAGACAAACTATTAGATCTGCCAAGTGATAACTTCAGGCGAATGAACTGAAAGTGGTAGACAGTTCACACAAGACACTTTGACCCGGGGCTATTATCACCCCGAGTGAAGTAATCATCGAAGTGCTGCCATTGGTTGGTAACTCCGTCACACTGTTAGCGCTTCATGGTAGTGGCAGATAAGCCGCCTTTTTATATAGGGTGACTCAAAACCATATCATCAGCGAGCTATCCAACTTAGACATGAGTTTAAAGTAAAATTCATATATGCTTAAGCATAGGCGAAGGAAACAAAAGCATTTAAAACTTTTTCAAACATATTCAATACCGCACAAGTGATGCAAAAATCCGTTCATGTACCTCTGTAACGGCCACTGATATCGGGGAGTGAAAACCAACTCAATAGGAGAATCATCTGATATTTTTGACAACCCGGTCTGGGGTCGAGGTTCCAGATGATATTCAGTCATGTATCCACCGGAATTGAAAATCAGGAGACATTGCCCTCCTTTAGACGATGACGTCATCTGTGCCCGCCTCAAGGCATTGTCGTGGTTTCCAGCTGCGTTGAAGAAAAGACATAATGAAAATAATGAAATTTTAATGCACTTGGTTTCGGTGTGAAACTAGAATGGTTGTACGATTCAGCAAGAACACCGCCTGAACCCTAGACAGTAGACATATAAGGTTCACACTTGTTCCTGTCGTGTATTCAGAATGTGTGTGTTTAATAATTGAGCAGTTTGAAACATCTAATATTTTTATTTGCAGAATCGCAGTATCTTTTGTGATTTAAAATAGTACAATATTTAAAGCTTTATTTTTTTGAATAAATATTGTTAAATGGATTTTTTACAATTGTATGTCAGAGCCCTCAAGGTGGTGGTTCAGGAGGTGGTTGGGGTATGGTTCGAGCAGTACTTCAGCCGATTCCGGCTTCAGTTGGGTAAACATGAATTTGGTTGAAATTCGACTGTAGAAAATTTTTTTTAAAAATATGGTCGCAAATCTGGCCAGACATATTGATCTTTGCATTAAAGTTGCATGTGATTTGTAATATTTCATGGTTCATGGTACAATAAGTACGCATGCGATATGTATTACATTTGTACTTCAATTTATATATTCTCCTAAACAAAAATTCTACATCTTTTCTGATGTTTTATTTTATATTGGTATATTGAGCATCAGTACAAATTGATTTAAATAGCCCAATATACAAACATTGTTATCTATTCATATGTGTGTTGAGTACACAAAAAATAACTTTCTGTTTAGAATCATCACATGAACTTTAATGTGTTAGCATGCTGATTAAAAGGAGAAAGTGCATTCATTATTAAATAAACTTCGTGTTTCTCCATACTTGTTTTATACAGTCACTGACTTTCACTTTAATCCCCAACAAATCTCCACACAAGCAGTTATTTATAGAAAATTAAAATGTTCAGTAAGACCCAGTTTGTTGCGAAATAACTGATTTTCAAGATGATAATTTGTGAGAACATGCGGGAAGACATTTTCACTGATGTAGTTTTGCCATAATGGCTTTGTCAGAATGGATTTTATGCGAGTTGTGTAGTCAAATGTTTTCGAGCCAAAGACATCAGCCCGTTCATTGCACATGTTTGTATCAATAGAATATTAAAATGCAAATATAAAGTAGTTTAGTCTTGGTTCATTTTGTGCCTTATGTCAGTGTGGGCGTATCCATAGTTATTTTAGTTCATAAGTTACTCGCTATAGAAATGGCGAGACAATTAATTTGGAACATTTCCATTTTAGCACTTCGTGCACCAATGTATAAAAATACAATAGATAGCGTACGTGAATTGAAATTTTGGGTAAAATATCTAATTTCGAAAGCGGGTATCTGTTTTTACGATGACTGCTGCTTTCTTCTACATTTATGCAATATATAATAGCAGCATTAGCATGGGCATTATTTGATTACGCTCACAACGGTATTCTTTACTCTTTCATGGATGACACATTTCCGAGTCTTTCAAAGTGAGCATTTAAAATAATACATGCAAGGAAACATGATCACATGATTACACAATACTGGGATTTGTATACTCTCCACAGCAATTACCCAAATTTAGTATCACAAAGCCTTCGTCCATAATTTGAACTTTGAGTCATTTCGAGCATCCTCATTGTATGTCGATTTTCCGTAAAACCTCCATTACTTATCCATGGAAATGTTGATGGATTCAAAGCACGTTGAATTAAATAAACCCACGATACGCGACAGCGTTATGAAATGGCCGATTGATAACAAGTTACTTTATTAATGGAATTTAATAAATTTAAGTCTTGAGAAAATGTGCATCGTCCAAATTCTGCAATTCAGCAATCCAGCAATTACATCAAACTATCATTAGAGGACAGAGAATGTACTGTATCAAATTTCGAATGCTCGCATTTCAACTGTATTCTGCTACCTTTCCAAGATTACACAATTTTCAACACAATTTTCGTGTAATACGAACATTGAAGTCATAGCAACAATGATTACCGAAGTGTCAAGAGTAGTTGTGCTATACAATAGAAATATGGACCAACCAACAGGCATATGAAGAAGTGATCACGGGCCATTGTGACGCCATTTCCTAGTGTCGGCTACAGATTTACATGCATTAATCATCTTTATCCATTATTAACATCATCTAGTTTATTTTATGAACGTGACACAATCCATTATTAAAGTCATGATTACATGTCATTTCATGTGAAAATTCCGTGAACAAATGGGAACTTCTAATTTGTACGGACGACAAATTGTAAACGAAGCATAACCTATTTGCAGGGAACGAAAGAAAAAAGTTCAGATCAATGAAACGCTTATGATTTTTAATAAGGCAATCACATTTCGGCAATGGTAAAGATTTTGCAAGAGTTGAACTTGTCTCAAAACAATCATATTTATGAACTCTCTTTCGAATACGTGAATCCTACATTCATGGCACAAGATCGACAAACTTATCATATCGATAATATGTAAGACAATGATAACATAATTTTATATTATCATAATTTCCATAGGGTGACTTATTGACTGAATCTTATATAACCAATGATAACCTTTCCTCCAATTATTAAAATATTAAGAAATGACCTCAATGAAATGAAGCAATAACACAAATAATGAGAAGCTGACGCAACACGATAAGTTACTGAATGACTGATGGTTCGCCCAACTTCCTTGAATTCTGTAATATTGAGGAAATAATAACCTGATATAACCAATAAATTTTTTAATGAAATATCATCCACGGGTAAATATAAAACAAAGAAAACAGATCTCGCATGCAGAACATTACGGCAACGTCCATCAAAAATTTTGAAAATTCAACCAATAGTTTTTTTTAATCCAAAAGGTAGCAATATCATTAACCATTATATGATTGCAAAAAAGCAGGAAATTGCCATTAATGATATTCTACGAAACCGCTAACTTTTAATGGCACACTGTACAAATTATGGGATAACAAATTATACTTATTGTCAGCAAAATATTGATACAGCAGGTATTGACAATGGGTTCTAATTGAATCATATTTTATCACGATATTTCCCAAAAGTAAGTTCCCATTTCAAACCATGATAAGAGTCCCAATAAAAACCTTGAATTTATTAATTGTATTTATCGTGAAGCATATTCCACACGCATAGCGAGCTTACGATATACACCAATCTACATCTTTTCCGTTCAACAGAGAAACTGGTATATGCAGGGTGTTTGTTGGGAAAGAATTCATTGCATAGCAATTAAAACATACAGTGTCACACAATAGGAATAGGAGACATTTTGTAACGTGTTAAATACATAAACTGGTGAAAAATGGACAAATGAACAACTGTAGACATTTTCATGTAAAGATGATAAAACAATAAAATTGACATGTAAAAAAGCATTGGTGAATATATTGATCAGTGTCAGCAGTTTTTTTCCCTTTGTGCATAATCTCTTCTTTTCATATACTTGCAAAGATGCAAAAAGGTACAACAAATTTCAGGTCCATCACTTGAGCTTAACTTCAGCCCACACAGGGTATATGATTGCAAATAACTACAGACTTTCCATCGAACGGCGAAATACACATCAGGTATTCTGATATTGGTGTTATCTAAGTGTTGAGATATATTTCAGTTAGGTCCAAATATGGAATCTATAATCTTTGAGGCTATCACATCAGAAACGACGTCAAAAACAAAGCGGACATTATCAGTGTCTGTTGCACAAGTAAAATGAGTGTATATCTCACGATTCTTCTTGTCGTTATTGATATCTTCGAACTGACGTCTGATGAAAACAGACGCTTCTTCATATGTATTTTTTCCCTTGTATTCCTCGAAATAATCACTGATAGGAGATTTCTCGACTTTTTCTTCAAATAGATCTTTTTTATTCAGAAAAAGTATGATAGCAGTGTTGACAAAAAATTTGTTGTTGCAGATTGAATCGAATAGTTTCAAGCTCTCCCGCATTCGATTGGTCTCTTGATCTTCTGCTAAAACCTGATCGTACGCTGACATAGCGACGCAGAATACAATTGCCGTTACGTCTTCGAAGCAATGCATCCATTTTTTACGTTCTGTGCGTTGTCCACCGACGTCGATGAGAGTGAAGTCCAAACCTTTATATTGAAAAGTAGTTTCAATTATTCCAGTTGTTATAACCCGGCTACGTAGAACATCCTGCTCAGATGGAACATAATACTCATCGGCCAATCTATCAATTTCATCCAGATAATACTTGGCTGAATCGTTAAGTTGATATTCGCGAGATCTACCGTAACAAGTTTGCACTCCTGAATCTTCCCACAGTCGTTTAATTACTTTCCCCAGTTCAACTGAAATATAAGAATCCTTTATTTTGGGAGAAACTTGAAACACTTTTTCAGCATCTGCAACTCGTTCCTCACTTTCGTATGGTATTTTTAAACCATCCATAGCATGCAATATAGCATGGATAGACTGGAGAGTGTTGCTGTGGACGACGCATTTATATTGTCTCCGTTCCTCTTCTGAAAATCCACTCTGATGAAGAATCCTCAATTGCTTGGCTATTGTACTCTTTCCCGACTCTCCCGCTCCAAGCAGGAGCAATCTCACTCGTTTGTTCGATGAAGCGGCCTCTTCGCGAATCTTCTTATCTATCTTTTTGGATTGTTCCTCCGCTTCTCTATCGTCATCTGACTTTGCCTGAATACACCCCAGTACACCCATCTGAAGTTTTACTAAATAAGGTATATACCACCCACTGAAGAATATTGATCAAAATTACTTCTGTTGATCAATAAAAGAGTAAATAAAATCCGATTCTCTGTTACGATTTACAATTAATTTATCTTTATTGAGGCGGAAAGTGTATTACTTGTTACCTCTCGTCCGATGTCATGATTTTTTGAATTATAAATCTGCGAATGACATAAATTAGAATATCACATATAATGATATATTTTTTATCGTGATTTTTAACATTTCACAGTAGCAAGAAATTTGATTTTTATTCATATCCACTAGTTTTCGTTGATATGACAATATAGCCGCATTAATCGACATTTAAAATTCTAAATTTGCTCATTTTCGTCAACTTTTCTAGATGCCCAAAAGAAATTTCCAAAGAAAAAATATCCATCATACAGCAAAGCAAACATAACAACAACTGAACTTTGCTTACTATTCTGTATAGAGGAATTATATATTCTAATATTTCTGTTATCAAACTATTTTATTGTCTAAATCCCAATACGATTTACAGGAAATTGGCTAAAATGACTTTTTTATAACCAAATAAAAATCAATCATGTCTGAAAACGAAAATAGATCTAGACAAAAATGTAGTCTCGTCCTTTGTCACGATGTACAATTTATATCGTAAAAGGTCAAATTTGGGCAATCGTTGATATTTCTTATTTTAGTATGGTAACAAACAAGTATATACCAAATAAAGACCAAACAAATAAATTGAGATTTGCGAGGATGTTTCCATTTGGCAAAGATAACTGATATATGACCTATCGCAAGTGTATTTTAAGAGTTTTCTTATCTTGTTTAAAAGGCATCGTCTCCACGTTTACAATTATTTCAAATTTGGCGTCGAAATGATAAATGACATTTATTATTGGTAATTACTACTTGTACTCAGCCCAAGTCACAATAATCGTTTTTATCAGAGTTTTACAACAGGCGCAGAATAATTCTGTCATCTGAATACCACTTAAATTGGTATAACACACAAATGCTAGTTTATCTGCCATCGTAATATTAAATAAAGAGTAATGTATAATAAAATTGAGCTGATTGGAATATACATAGCTGTTCTTACAGAGATTAGAAAATCCATTCAAAACCTGTTGATTGATTATTTACAGATAAACATTGAAAATTCCATCCCTGGGTATAGATTCCCTAAGTGCCATCCATACCCTACAGCTAGCAACAAATCGCAACTGCTGCTATAATCACAGAATAGACATTTGAGATACAAAGCAGCCAACATGCCTTAGAAAATAAACCGCGTAAGCTAATTAAAAATATTTCGGCACAATGGTTAACGAAGAAATAAAGCGTAAAATAAAGGAGGAAGATACATAAAATTCCAAAGCAAATAGAACACGGAAAGACAGTGGGCGTGTAGAGACTGCGTTATATGCTTTGTGTCTTGTTTTTCCGGAACAGCTCAGGCTGTGTGGGTTTGAGCAAGAATTATACAACAATACAACGATACAGTGCTTGTGTGTCATCTATGAGTTACAACAACTGTTAGGCTGCACATGAACCAATATAAATTGAGTTTGAAAAGTTCCATTTATATTCTATGTATGCTTGAAATGTATTGAAGAATGAAACAAGTTGATATCCACGGGACCAATACATGTGAATGAATTTACATAACATTTTATTTGAGACTATACATTACACATTATATATACATATTAATGTAGTTGCATAAGTTTTACATCATGTGACCACGCAAAGAAATATGGAACAATCGTATTCATTTCCGACAGTGTTTTCAACATTTCCCTATACGGTACTCATTTTTCACTGTTTGCCTTGTTTGGTATATTATAATCGCTCCTTACAAACTCAACAGATTACAAAAAAAAAAACGTGATTAATCGGGAGTACAGAAATTGTTAAGGACTCGAGATATTTCTTGTTCAGAAGAAACTTACTGGCTTACTACGATCTACAATGCATGGTAATATACTAATGGGCTTCATTTTCGACATCATTTCAATATAATGAAATGCCAAAATAGATCAATCAATCGCATTCCTACATAGTTTCGTGTTGTAATGATACAATGATAGTGAATATAATCCATTATTTCAGTTTTTATGGAACCAGATTGTACACATTTGAAAGAAGATCAGCTTGCGCTTGGCTCCACGTCCAGAACTTGTGAATCAGTATGACAAGACCTTTCCGGTTCGTCTACCGAAACGTGTCCGCTTTGTAATTAAATAAAAGTCCTTCATTCTGAGAGGACGCCCAACAAAATATTACAACATGATAACTAATTGCGTAATTAGTCATATGAAAATGACACCACAATGGCGCACTAGTATAAGTTCATACCGACAATGCTACAATATAGCAAAATAAACCTATATGCAATAAAAACATACTTTAAATATTAATTTTATAATGATTGATCTACAACAACATACGTTTTGAATAGCCAACTTCAGTATCGGTTATCGATACAAAAAAACAAAAAGGTAAATTACAAATCAGGACAAACACCCGTCATAAAGACAAACACTAAATTAAACAACTATCTTCAATATTTATTGATATGATAAAGTGAACTAAAATCTACACAAGAAAGAAGATTTTGAAAATCAGACAATATTTAAATATTGGTTACAATAATTTAGATAAGTGTTTTTTAACTTGGGCTCGATCGAACCCCTAGAGAAGATTCCGAAGAATTTTTTTTGTGAAGAATGCTAACCAAGAACGAGTCCCGTTCGGATAACTATGTTATGTTGTTCGCGTGTTGCAATTTATGTTCCCCTATATCTGACAAATTCTATTCTGCTTGGTCCATTGAAGACGGTTTGGGGTTCGACGAATTCGTTCGAATTTTCAAATAATTCATCAACTCTAGCGCGTTTTCGACTTTTGAGTATTTTTCACAATAAGATCAATCGGCCCACAATCAACTACTATCAGAACATCGGTCCGGCGTATGATGTGATCTAATTCGCTATTTACATACTGAATGATATTTGATAATTTCACCCCTGTCGTTGTAATGGCTTTAATCTCGCACTCCAAATAATAAAGCAGAAAGCACTAGACTAGACGAACTGCATCAGGGCAAAGAATGGAAAAACAAACGAAAAATACAGAAAATTTATAGATTCACGGATTTCTTACTTTCTTCCGTGGTTACTATTTTTTACACATCCAGAAATAAAATATAGTACAAGGATTCAGGTTTCACCTCAATAATTCAAAATAGAAAAACAAATCTGTACACGTAATACTTAATAAATCGTGCGAAATTTAAAACACGATTATGATTCAACATTCAACCTATGCCCTACACACTGAGAAATTCCAACTCGCTTTGAGCATTATTTGCTACTATCAATAGTATAAGACTAAAGCGGAATGTCATCATTGATTGCACAACAGAAAATAATGGCAATTGGGGGTATTACATGAGGTTTATAAAACGTCAATCAAAATCGCATCGATTTTCAAGTTGCAATGAATGCAAATGCAATCATAGTGCTATATCGACATGTAGTTATTACTGAAAAATCCCAAGTGTACAAACTGCGGAGACTCCAAGTTTAAGCAGCAGTCATTCGTATTGAGTGAATGAATCAGGTTTATGAAATTAATCCGCTTTTTTTTTACCATTCCACAAAATCGTGTGAATTAAAACGTATATATTTTATATATACATTGTTACTGAAAGTTATACATTACTGTAGTGGCATATGTTGAAGAGCAACGTTTCCCAACCAGAGAGGAATTCTTAAACAGGGAGGAATTTTGCGTTTTTTTTGGAGGAATTTTGTATCACGATTATAAAATCGCGTAATAAACTACCTGAGCTGTGCAGAACACCAGTGCGGCTTGTGTATAACACTAGCAATGGATCCATTAAAGATTGAACAAATGAAGTATATTTATGCATAGGGGGGTAATAAGTGAGTTCCAAAATAGTCAAAGACGGAAATTTAACGAAAAAGGTCGGGAACTACTGTGCCAGAGTATGATCGTGTATTTCAGTGTCGCGTTTCATTAAGATTTACTTCAATTAGATGGGTAGTAAAAGCAATGAGGAATATTGAGCAAAAATATCATTTCAGTTATATTATATTCAGAACTTAACACAATTTCTTACTATAAGGACGCAAACTATGGTGGCGCTATGATGCTCACGACGGCATATTTCGCAACATAATACTATACAATTGAAAGTTTTAAAGCAATTTTCCATACCAACTTATTTATGCTGAAAAATAACTTTATTCGAAAGGCGATACATTCTTGGGCATTCTTATAAATATGAAGTAAGTGTTTAAATGTATACAAAAACAAAACGTGGTTGTATTGTATTATATGATATTTATTATGTTGAACAAGCACGATTAGTTTATATTAAAATTGAGTTCAATGTACCATAGAGATTTCAATGAGTACACAGAATGTTGAACTACTGTGAAACTTTCAAAAACAATGTAAAAACGCTCGAGTTCAGATATAATGAAGAAATTAACACAATTTATTAGGTTGTAATTATGTTGTTAAGCGCCCGGGGCCAAGATTAAGGCAAGAAAGATCCATTTATAAATTTTACAAATGAGAACAAGACGAGGACCATCACCACTATGACAAGGTACACTATGCATAAAGTTGCTTAAAGACAATATATCAGTAATTCCTTTAGTGTTCAACTGCACAAAACTCAACATGAATTACTGGTATAATTCAGCTGATTAATAACAATCTAGGTTGGTATTAATTCTTCTAATCCATATGTCTTTAAATGTCGGAAATATCTAACTTCGTTTGAGTCAAATTCTTGTCCGTCGAAATTAAACCAGGTTAAAGAGAGTAGGTATGTTCAACAGTTCAAAACGAATTGAATATTAGAATGGTTGATATAATCATATCATATGTTTAGAAATATCACGCAAAATATATTGGCTTAATTTGATCATTGGAAACTGTAGAAAATATTTTTGTGTTACCAGTTCAATCTATTCACATTTCTACATGTTCTAATTCGACCACAGTCTAATTTAGAACATACTCAATATTCCACATCCAAGAATATTTCAACACTATGGATTAGGAATAAAATATGAATATTTTTATTTCGGCCGCCCTTGCTGAAATGATAATAACAATTGGATGAGAATGTGAATCAACCCAAGTTTTTTATCACTAAATCTTACACTTTTTTCGTTTGTTTTTATTATTATTTACAGTTAATACCCCAGATGAGATCGCACCGCTGAGATTAAATAAATTCAATCGAAAAGTCATCGTTACTGAATGGCCAATAAGCGACCATTATCCAATAAGTATGTCAGGTTAAAATGAATAATTTTTCTGCAATTTCTAATTCCATAAATTTATGAATATTCATACATTTATATAGGTTTCAATAATAATAAAACAGTGCACAAAAACAAAAAAGTTGTGCAATTTTTTATATTTTATCGTCAAAACGAAGTATCACACGAAAATACGAGACATTCGAAAGTAGCGTTTCAATATTACCAACAAAAATGTACCATCTGAATTGGAATAAAACAACCAATGAAAAATTGCAACCGATGAAGCCAATAACTGGTTCATAGACAATATAAATTTCATCTCATATTCTCAGAATAATAAACCACATTTCCGGAAAAGTGTTAGATTATTTCAATAACGATCTATATCTGCATACTCCAGTTACCCATGCCAGTTATGCAATTAAGAGATTATACCGCAGAAATATACGCTAGAAGGCAAACATATATAGCAATTTGGTCCTATTTATTGCGATTCTGAAAATAGAGCAATTTAAATTAAATTCTAATCGGTCAGGGTCATATTTACAAAAAGGGCGAATGGAGTATAATTATGTGAATTTGAACGGCTTAGACCAAACAAACAAAGTATGCTTGCTTATCAAAGGCTTGGTATCGGCTATAAAACAATTATTCTAATCCGAAACGGATATGGCATATATAAAACAAAATACAAATCGAATCTAATATTGAAAAATGCCATTTCTTAGCCTGTATATTCAGACTGGGACGACTTTAGAAGAAGGTACGTATGACTTATCATGTATATACGCCAAAATACATCGCCTTCGCAGATCAATAACACTAGACGAATTAGACTACAAAGTTTTAGGATGAGCTGAATTTTCAGCTCATATTTTTGTTGGGGTGTAATTTGGAATTGGGCAAATTAACATTTTTTTAAAAAATGGGTTTAAACTAAATATTATAGTTGAAACCAGGAATGGGTATATTGTCCCAATCGCCACTTGAGTGGCTCCATCTATATGGAAAAATCGGTCTGCCAAATAGATAGTTATGGCTGTTGTTAGACTGTTACTTGCTGTTACGATTTTTTATGGCAAGTACACAGTATGGGTACTGCAAACCAAGTGAATGTTTTGTGAAAATGCTTGTTCTTTAATGGGAGTAAAATGGTGATAAGTGTACCAAGGTCTGAAACAATTTGCTAAAAGAATCCTGAAAATAAAAGTAAGCCGTGGTGAAAGTGTTAAAGTAGAAATAAGCAAATACGACCAAATGTGAATTAACAGTAGAGAGAAAGGGGCAAAAACTATTTACGTGTATTCAAAGCTTGTTAACGGTGTTTTATCATTTTTTTTTCAACTCTCAATCCTACATCACCCAAAGAAATACAGAAATTTTGTGCATGTTCATGGGTATCAGCGCATCGCTCGTGTCTTGTTCCGCCTACAACTCTTAAAAATATGGAACCTTGATTTTGGGATTTGTATTCTGGGGGCGTGAAAAAAGTTTGCAAAGGGTTTAATATATATTAAGCTTACTTGATCAAAAACCCCGTTGAGTATGGCTTCACTAGACTTGTTCTGGAATAGGAGAATATTAGGCCTATCTATGAAACCATGACCCATGGTCTAGTCTAGAAAACTGATCAATTTTTCACATTCGCAAAAAGTCCAAATAAAAAATACATAACCCACAAGTCGCAAACTTGAATGGTCGTATAGATTACTGCAAAAGAAAAACTGAAAAGCCTATTTGTTTGAATTCGAAACTATGTGCCATTCTATGATACATATTTCCTCCAACATAAAATCATTCAAAATTAGATTGCATCCCTTTTGTGACATTAAGTCAAGTTAGCGGTAAATGTAAAGTTGTGAAACGAAAATGTTATATAGTTTACTCGGGACCTATTAAGTAGATACCAATGAAAAATTGGATATACTAACACTAAAACGTTGCCAAATATACGTACCGCGGGCATTTACGAAAAAACTTCAAGAAAAAATGAACAACCTAACCACGATCAATAAACTCCTCTTAACACATTTTTGTCAATATGCAAAATAGTAATATTCGAAGGTTGTATGGCAGGATATTAAAGCGATGTTATAATTAGCTTCACACATGTCCAGAATATATATTCAAATTATTATTACTCCTCAGTATCATATTTTTGATACTATTTCGATTTTTTGGCGATCAGGAAATTCCTAAGTCACCACTAAAAACTAATATTCATAAGATGTGAAATATACCGAGAATAACTGTTTTTAGAAGTTTTTTGTTCTGCCTGGGATATTATTTTGCTATTGATGCAGAGATTTGTAAATATTTTCAAGTGTAATTTTATCCACCCCGCTGGTTTGAATGCAAATGCAAATGTATTACATATAATAAATAATATATTCAAAGTGTACACCACATCTAATTCAATTCAATGCGGCAGTAATCGAACCATCATGCTGACCGACTGAGTCACCAGATCGCCGTTGTGCTGAATAATACTTCCCAAATACCTTGTTACTCGATTAAAATTGTGAACAGTTTCAATAAAATTTTGTTGCTTCGTGATGCACATACGGTAATCTGCACATACGTACGTGCTGTCACGTTGATAAAATGTCAAGATGTTTAAAAATATAGTTTATAGAAATTGGGAAACAATAACCCCATTATATGCATCTATGCGTCGGCAATTTTGATTTCATTGTCGCTGTAACACTTAATTATATTATCAATGAAGCTTTTGACAAGATGCAATTGCTTCAATATCCTAATACAAAAGCGAAGTTCTGGTGAAATCTGACGACTTCGTCCCTTCAAGTTCTGTAATGAAACCACCTGACCCAATACTTCATTACAATCATATCACAGAAATGACGGTTTGTTGGCTTATTAGTACAAACAAACAATGAATTGAATCATAAGCACAATAACCATTACTAGATGAAAAATAAAAGGGGAAAAACGACAAACGTAATAAAACAAAACCAAAAGCATAATATTAAGCATAATAGAGAAAATATTCAAAACGAATCGACTTTTTTCTGAGTATAGAAAAATTCAACGAATGTAATAGTAGATACACATTACATTGATATTATACTTCACACGACATGATGATATAATGACTTCACACCACACCAAATCTTAACGAGGATACCAAATTTGGGCATTCGTCTAGTAAAACTACTTTTTGTTCCAAATATGTTCTTTCTTAGAATGTGCATAAGCATATATGACCCCAGGGTAAATCTAGGATGATCGAACATAATCATACTGATTCAATTTGTTTATTAAACCAGTTTGAATTTATCGGTGTTTCATACATGGGCTAGGGACTCCTAACGCACTTTCAGATTCGAAGGTGCCATACATTATTGACCAGGGATCGATATTCAGATGTCGATAATCTGTAGAGAGCGCTGATGACAAGCTCCAAAACCCTAATTTTCGTAAAAATGAATCATAGTCATTAGTTATATTCAATGTTCGAGGCCCCAATTAAAAGACTAATTTAGCTCATATGTTAAGCTAAAAACAATAGCTTATTTATGATCGCTAAAAATCACTCTAAAGAGATATTGCTTATAAAATTCGGACTGGACGGGAACAACCGTGTGATAACCAAAATATATGGTGGGGTCTGAAATTATTACACTCGATACAAGCAAGCATATTTATGGGGGGTGATGACGCTCAGCAGGCCTCCCCTCCAGCTGTTATCAATTCATAATGAGATTCGTAAAAGCAGACTCTTAGGCCGACGCATGTTCAATTGTGTTTATTGATCCTAAGGATTTGCTTGTTCATTTTAGGGATGGCTTGGAGGTATAAGAAGACGTCAATCCTGCGATAAAATCGGTCCGAGTAGTCAAAATTTAAAATTCTGATTTTTTTTAACAACTTCTAGTTTAAAAGAAATTTCCAGCTAAGTTGTCATGATATAATACTTTGATTTCAATAACTCCTAAGTGAGGGGACATTCGAGATGCAAATCTGTTTGAACAAGTTGCAAAAGGATATCAATGGCAAACGCTTGACTTGAATAACGCTTTAGAACCATTCCAATATTATATATGCAATGTACGACCTATGATATCTATAAAACAATAGTGCAAAGTATACGCATGGTGGAGTCTTTACTAATGAGTGAAATTTGCTACAACATGCTTCGCAAGTCGTTTGAGAGTTGTTTGGGAAAAATCGTTATTAGAAAAAAACGTAATTACCAAAACAGAATCTAAAATACAGACGACATAGCGGCATAATAATAGATCTGCGAATATCCAGTGGGACTTTTCTAATTGCGATAATGCATCTAATTGGAAAATTCCACTGATTAGTTGATCGTGACAAATACGAACATAATTATGAAATAACCGTCATTCGTTGTCCACAACCAGATATATTAATTAATCTGGTGGACGTTCAGGTGTATATGTATGTATATGTGTGTTTATGAAATTTAACAATAAATAAATACATGCTGCAAATAAGTGACCAATAATATTTAATAGGTATTTTATTTTATTTATGCGGCATAGCATAAAAATAGTAAACGCGACTAAATTGTAAAAATTTATCTATACTGAAGCTAACTAAACATAAAAATCATCGAAGATTTTGAGTGATCAGTGAACATCGATAGTTACGTTCATGTTGAATGGGTGGAAAATCATTTTAGACGTTTATTGAATGCAAACAAGGAGAAATCAATCCTACCTACTTATCACTATGTTTGACTTTAATTTATACTTGAAAAGAAATGAGGGCAAATTGTACATTGTCAAAGGTAGAGTGGTAAACAGACGTCAAAATAACAATACATCGCGAAAATAAAGTCAGGATACAACAGTCGCTCAACAAATAGTTTATTTAGGTCAACGAAAAGTCGTTCTAATCTATTTCCGTGGGGGTAATCAGATTTTAAAACCAATGCAATGTTTGTCCAATTATTAATCGCTGCCAATTTTAGAGGGTTGCAGATGAGACCGAGACTAACAGGCTTGCCTATCCAGGCTCTAAAAGCGATGAATTGACTCACATGGTAATCTAATTATCATCCTATAGTCATCATTATCGCAAGCTGGCCATATAGACCATACAGCCGCGGTGACCAGAAGTCCATACGGATGCCATCTCAAAACAAACTAAGGTTGAATATCGCGCTATAAAAGAGGACTAGGAGCGTAAAATTCATATTCTATTCGTGTATACCTCATGTGGTCATATTCTTGTTATATCCGACCCTTTATTCCTTAATATTGTAACAATTGCAGCAGCTTAAATCCTCATTGACAGTAAAAATGGAACATCAATGTACCAACTCCCCAGTTGTCCTGATTTGGTCAATTCTTCCAATGAATACGCATAAATCAAATAAGACTTGATCATAAATATGGTGTCACATATCAATTGGACAACATAAGCAAAATTTACTGTGGGGCACAACTGAGCCAACTTGCAACATTGCACGTAATTGCCTCAAACAAGAGGGATTTATTATGAAAAGTATATTCTTTGTGCTAACTCTCAAAAATGTTCTTACAAAGTTTTCCATTACGCAGCGGGATTGACGCCCGTCCCAGCATTAGGTTTCAGGGTTTGCACATCGACTCGCCCACCTTTTATAGAATCATCCTGAACCAAACACGTTATCGATAATTTTTCTCATGAGAACGTCGGAAACTGCGTCGAACACGAAACGCACGTTCCCAGTGTCTGTTGCACATGTAAAATGTGTATAGATTTCTTTCATGGAGTTATTTCTATTTGCTGCCTCGAATTGTTCCTTTATATGCTCCGACGCAGCGGCGTACGTGTTTTCCCCATCGTAATCCTTGAAGCAGAGGGTGAGTGGTGATTTCTTGATTTTTTCTTCGAACAGATCCTTCTTGTTGAGGAACAAAATCATGGAGGTTTTTGCAAAAAATGGATTATTGCAGATAGATTGAAACAATTTTAAGCTCTCGACCATTCTATTAGTCTCTTCGTCTTCGGCTAAAACTTGATCGTATGCTGACATCGCGACGCAGAAAATGATGGCAGTCACGTCTTGAAAGCAATGAATCCACTTTTTTCGTTCACTTCTCTGGCCACCGACGTCAATTAGCGTAAAATTGAGGTTTTTGTATTGGAAAGTTGTCTCGATAATACCCGTCGTCTTTACTCTTGTTCGCAAGACGTCTTGCTCGGTGGGAATGTACTCGGCTTCGCACAATCTGTCCAAATCATCTAGGTAGTATGAAGCAGAATCGTTAAGTTGATATTCCCTCGAACGTCCTACGCATCGTTGTACGCCTTCGTCTTTCCATAATCGTTTTAATGCATCTCCTATATCCGTTGTAATATCGATTTCTTCCATTGTTTGTCCGGCGGCTCGAACTTTTTTGCCATCACCTTCCCTCTCGGAATCGTCATATTCAATATTGAGAGATTCCATCGCCTTTACTATTGCGACCATAGATTGAACAGTGTTGGTGTAGACAACTGCTCTAAAACTTCGTCTTTCTTCTTCTGAAAAACCATCTTGATGAAGAATTTTCATTTGTTTGGCAATTGTACTTTTCCCTGATTCACCAGCACCAAGCAACAGTAGCTTGACTTCCTTTCTGGCATTTTCCGCGTCTTTTTTAAGTTGTTTATCGATTTCTTTTGACTTGTTCATCGCACTGCGATCATTTTCAGATTTCGAAGGTGTACAACCCATTATGATAGCCGGGCAAGATATCAGACAGCCAAAAAGTATACAATGGTATTTTGTCTCTTGTACGCAATTAAAGTAACTGAAAAGTACAGATGATAAATACGTTTAAAAATAAAAATTTACATCAAAATTCAATTGAAAATCAGCTAACTTTTCCTTCCTTGAATCCGGTATGAACAGTCTTTTGAAACTATTACATATATACAAAGTACTGTCAGAAACTTAAAAATACAACAACGCCCTGTAGAGAGTCATAATAATGTATGAGGCTACCCACGCAGCGACCGTATGACACGAGTACTGCGCGCGAACACACAAAACATGCATGCACTGCACAGCTTGCCTTATTTGAATTATTAGCATGCGCACAAAGAAGGCGCACGCTAGAGGAAGCCCAGCACCATACTTCCCGGTGAGCCTATTTCCTGCCAAAGTGTATTGCAAAACGTCAGTCTTTCTGTAGGTGTTTTAGAATTCAATGAAATCTCAAAACGCATCTAAATCAACACATGACATTGAATCAGTGATGGAAGAGTAGTGTGATGATATCCGTATCAATTACGCAAAGAATTACAGTCATGTATGGTATCCTTTGCGAGACAGACCAGAACAGCGAAATGGAGATCCATAAATAAATAATAACAGAAACACACACCCAAGAGTCGTGCTTACAACCCAACATTCTAAAAACAAGCTTAATAATGATCCGAATGTCCGGATTACATTAAAACGAGCGTAAGAACTTTAATCCTTCTTTCTAATTCTTCATACTTGGGAAATGTTGCAAATAACAAAAAACTATAACCGAGCAAAAAAAGCTTGAAACATCCCACCTGGGCAAAAATCTCGACCTGGAATTAATATGTATTCTGAATAGTTCAGTTAGATAATAGTGACTAAACAATGTTACGAGCCATTGAAGAAACCATGAATGCGTGAAAACCTACGTTGGAGAAAACTTTCGAATGCGACTAACAGAGTGTTATTTTTAGATCAGGTACTTCCTCTTTCACAATAATACTGAAGGTGACTCAGATTGTGTGTAAAGTAAACCCAAGATATCGGTACAATTCAGCGATTATATTATATACATATTCTCTTTTGTGAGTTAAAAAAATGTAAACGCTTATGCTTCGATTTTAGTTTCATAATCAAATGTTTTTAAAATCCCCTTTTAACTCAATAATTCCTGAACAATAATTCATAGCGTCAAAACAAACTCTGACCGAAATACCTTCATAATACATATGAGCGGCCTAATACCTTCAATAAACATTCTTATACTTTGCTTGAAATGAACTGACTTCCAATATGCTCTAAACGGGAATACAATACAAATGACAATATATTGTATAAACCGGCAATGAAACCTTTAACTGTCTCTCCAAAAAAGTGCTGATCCGTCACAGACTTACTAAACGACATTGGAAAGTATGGCCTCAATCCATTAACAAACTGTGGTTTATACAAATACAGACAGAAAAGTGCCAAAATATTTCACACCGACATGCTAAATATCAAGATAATTCTCATACTGCGATGTTTACAATTCACACTATGATAGAAGTGAAAATCTTTAAACGGCTGGACAACGACGAAAGTAGCACCTCGGGCGCAGAAACATATGGTATTGTTATGGATAGATATGTGCGACGTAACGAGCGACAATAGTACCGAAATGATTGTTTGTTCTGCGAAACTCAACGCGTGACTAAACACTCAAGGGTCCTTCTGCCGATGGTAAATTGAAACCTGTTTATGACAAAAGTCCTTTTGTGTTTTGATTGAATCGTACTATCAAAAATGTCATGGTATTCAGATAGTAGTGATACAATAATACTTTGACGCTTGTTGTTACACCTCCGTCCACTTTTCACTGATATTGCAATAGAATCGGTTGATTAACACCAGAGCTTCCACCCAATAAGATATAACTTGAAAAATACTTTTGAGAAAATGACTACACCGTATATTTTCTGATTTTCAAATTCCTTCATCTTTTTCTTGGAATATTTTGCTCAAAAGTTGTTTCAAACAATGATTTGATACTAGGTTAGGAAGCATCTATTTCTTTGTACTGTTTTCAAATAACACTTTATCAAAATTTCAACATTTTCGTCTTTTCGACTTAATACCATCGAACATACAAACCCCAGAGACCACGAATAGCAATTATTTCTAGTACGAAAAGCGTTATAATGTGTTTTAACTACCTTACATCTTCCGCAAATCACAACAACGATCGCCATTTTTCAAAAATTATCCCGTTCTTTGACTTTGCTGGTTGAAGATAGAGCATTACTGTCGAAATAGCAAGGAACTACTTGCTTTGTTATATCAAATATCCTGCGTTATTAGCAAGAATCTAGCCACACGTTTAAAACGACAAAATGAATCTACCATACCAAGCTATATAAGCTAACGTACAGCACTCCCGATACATACAAATCAATGAAACCAGTAATAGCAAAACATAAAGTAATTCAATTATTTTAATCCAAACATAATGGCTTTCCCAGGAGAGCCGTTGACATGATGTTAGCAGCATGACATACGCGCGAAATTTGGAAGAGTGCATGTCGCCATTAGCTCACTGGATCAATTTTCGCCATTCTCGTAACATCAAACGGTAATAAAGTTGGTCGAAAGTCGCACACAATTAGCGAAATGTGAAATTAAAAAGGACACAATGTTATAAAACCGACAGAGGGTCGAACGACAAGCAAACCACGACAACGTTCGAAATTCAAAAATGAATAGATCAATTTTATTGACAGATTTATAGACGACAAATAGTTACCTGTTATCGGTTGATACCGCTCTTGGTAGTTTGGACAGTTTGGAATTTAAAAATGATTATTATTATTTTATTTTTTTCAACGAACAACAGCAGAGGATGAAGACTTGAATAAACTAGAATTGAAGGGGAACAAATTGTCATAAACCATTCAGCCCCAAAATTTTTATTCTTATTATTTTAGAGGAAATACATAATGAAACATTCGTCGGGGATGTGGCTAAAGTTGAATTGAACGATCGTATAGTTGTTCTATTTGATTACGTGAATGATTTATTGAAAGATTCATAAGTAGAGAACAACATTTAGGTAATCTCATTTATGACATTAAATGACATTTGTAATTTATGAAACTCCATGGGACGTCAAATTATCGAAACTTTACATATCCAGTGACTTGAGTTGCAATAAAAAGGTTTCGAAAATTAGGACTTCATTAGGTACGTATTATACCAAAAGCGTATAAGTGAAATTATAATGAGCAAACGCACGTCGTACAATGCTAATGCCCGGGCGCGTCGATGCGTGATAATGATTTACGACAAAGGCAAATATATTAGCTAAAAAGATCCGGTTACAAAATGAATTTTAATGTCGTGCACATGGAAATTCCATATTGCCACACAGAAAAAAAAAATTTTCTTTTGTCGGTGCGTGAATTATTGATATCTTGAACCTTCCAATATAATGGGATGTCGATGACATATTATGCAAAACAGGCCTCTACAAAACCACAATAATATAAACCAAAATGTGCAACACCTTTACTCACATTGAAAAACGGTTAAAGCAACGTGAAATGGTCGCAGAAATTTTTAATTATGTTGCATGTGTGGAACGACTCCAAGAACCATCACAAACAAAATAATTTTTAATCTTCATCCAAAATGCCTAAAGTTTATAACTCTTTGACATAACACTTTGATAATCGAAATTCTCAAGGTATTGCATTCCTGAGATTGTGAACATCGAGCATCATACGAAAACGTATTTCAACAATGCAGCCACAGTGTTGAAATATGATCTTGGTAGACTTTTCTAAGTTTAATTTGTATAATCGATTTTAGGCTACAATTCAGAAATTTTATTTGGTTATTGTTACCTGTTACTTTCTACCTGTAAATAAGTTTCCTGCACACGCGCTTTCGGTATGAATGGTTGCTTGCGCAGAAATGACGTGCTCAATACAAGTATTGATCATATTTTAACTGATTATAGACTGCGTGCCATCAACAGTGTAAATACAAGGCTTTACGCTGTACTTTCACTAACTGCCCCCATCTTTGCTATCCACGATCTTTATGCAGTTTGGTATTCTGATCCTTAATACAGCATTTCAAATGTCGTCTGGACTGTGGATAAAACTGCTAATGCTTTTCGCAATCGGTGGGAACTGGCGAATACCCATGAACAATGCCGTAAACTCAATTTACAGCCTATCGCTAAATAAAGCTTCCTTTAATGCGATCATAGCATACTAAGTACACAACCGCGAAAGTACTCATTTCGTTTCCCGACTTTTTGATTTGATATTAACAGAATGAAATCATAACAATATTACCTTACCACCAGCGCCTTTAAAATTTTTCAGCTACGCAGACAGGTCTATGCCAAACAGCTACAGCGAACGATACTCGGTGTGTATGAGCCTACGCCTAGCTTCAGCGTTGACACACCGGAAATACGTCACACAAAATGACTTCAACAAGTGATTCGTCACATTTCATTGATTTTAAGCGAATAAGTAGCTCAGTTATGCTTACTAGACAGGCTAGGGTTAAGTATTTATTAATAAAGTGAATTAACACTGCAATAAATGCAACGATATCCACGCGAAATTCATAAATATTGCCGATGCGTGTCCACATTGGAAGTTTCTAAAGAAACAAATCCAAATGCAAAATAAACTATAGCTAATGATTGTACTGACCAAATATGCCTACATGACAGAATTCTGCACTAAAATGAAATTGCGCCCTCGGTCTGGTAATTTGTGTCGTTGGTTTAAAATAATCAATACGCTCTATGCAACATTATAATTATATTACAATTATGCCAGAGATTTTCTTATTTGTCATCGTATATTGATATATGCATGTTTGATTTCGAATAACATAATAGGAAGAATAAATTGCACAATAACTAAAATTTTGTTTGTATGCTGTGCGCATTTTGCGAGTTAATGGTTCGTTTGATAAAAACGACATTTTCACGGATATAATTCCTTTGGGAGAGAGAAGCGAAGTAAGGAAAATGTTGAACACGGTGCACTCTTCACCATAGGCGTATTGAAAAGAAATTACAGTTAGCGCGAAGGATATTATGCCAACCAAGAGATAACCTTTTTGTCATAAATACGTACGAATTGCTGTGAGCTCATATATGAAACCAGGTATTGACATCTTGATTGATTAGAACTTGGGTGCCATACCTACCAGTAAATTTCGAAGTTAAAACCATGAATGGAGGTGAGTTCTATCAATAAATCATACCAGAATGAACTGTTCTGAATATACAAGGCAAATGGCGGTCCTACTGACACGCATATTTTTAGACTAAGTTATAGTTGCGTGCGTGCATTGCGTGTCCAAAAGCTTACAATATGACTGAAAGATTAACCCAATGATCATCGATTTTGATCCATTTTCATAAGTCTCAGTACCGAATCGGTATATTTTCGACTACTAATTCTTTACCTTCAATATGTATAACGAATAATACAAAAAGTGGCTGTGGAATTCAAAGTTTTAAATACACTAGAACCATTTACCTTATTCTATTCCGGATATAATGGAAAGAGCATGATACACAGAACTGCAATTATTCATACACTGCATTATATCAACCCAGAGACTATAAATATAAATTATTTAATATTCACTAGAACTCCAATACATATATTGATGAAAACAGTAAACTGGTTCTAAAACGAACTAACCTGATCAAAGAATACAATGGCATACAATCATCCATAAAGTTAATAAGAAACGAATACTTTATTTACTTCTTAAAACCTATATCGATTGGGCTCGTAATTGCCGCGTTAAGTGTTTTTAAAAACTATGCCCAGGCGATTTAATGATAAAACCTCTGTGTCAGGACAAGTAAGAGGGCGGTAATTTTAAAGATCACTTCAATTTCAAGAAGGATACTGAGTCGAGATTAGCGATGTGTAATTGGTCATACATATGTAAAAAGAATGGCCACTTGCAAATTACCAGTGCGCAATACACCTGTTATGAACAGTATGCATTATTCTATATCCCACCCTCCTATGTTCAATTCAATGTGAAAGTTGGAGAGCGATACTATTAGCAATTGTTTATTCAAATCCTAATCGATTACTATATTGTCGATAAGCGTCAATCGCGATTTACATAAATATAACAAACAAAATCTGTAGATACATATTGAAAATACTTAATCGTCTAGCCAGCGATTGTCGAAATTTATGCGCTAATTGCATTGTTTGCATAGATTTACCACAGGCAGTTTGTTTGACA